AAGCCTTCCTCCGACAAAAGCCGGCCCCCCTGACACCAGCGATATAAGCAAAAGCCCCCCCCCCCCAGAGACAAGCGATATAAACAAAAGCCCCCCCCCCCCAGACACAAGCGATATAAATAAAAGCCCCCTCCCCCAGACACAAGCGATATAAACAAAAGCCCCCCTCCCCCAGACACAAGCGATATAAACAAAAGCCCCTTACTTTGACTGGGTTTTGACGGACATTTCCAGAGAGAAAGTCTTGCAAGACTTCAGAAAACAGTTGAGCAGAGAAAGGCTTGCAGGGATTCAGAAAACAGTTGTGTAGGGAAAGTCTTGCAGGGAGTCAGAAACTCATGTGACCAAAACAAATTGAAATCATTAAAACTTATTTTAAAACATACAGCGACTACATTGCAGTCCTACATTAAAATGATAGTATCTTTGATAGCATGTGGGATAGTATGTCTGTAGTATTTGTGACAGTATGTGGGGTAGTATGTCTGTAGTATGTGTGACAGTATGTGGGGTAGTATGGCTGAAGTATGTGTGATAGTATGTGGGGTAGTATGGCTGAAGTATGTGTGATAGTATGTGAAATAGTATGTCTGTAGTATGTTGGATGGTATGTCTTTAGTATGTGTGACAGTATGTTTGATATTATGTATGTAGTATGTGGGATACTAAGTGTGAAGTATGTGTGATAGTATGTTGGATATTATGTCTGTAGTATTTATTTGGGATAAGATGTCAGTATGTCTGTAGTATGTGTAATAGTATGTGGGATAGTATATGGGATTGTATGTCTTTAGTATGTGTGATAGTATTATTGTAGTATGAGTAGTAATAGTAGAGGCATATATCTTTATGTGATAGTATGTCTGTAGGGACATATGTCTTTACTATGTGATAATATGCCTGTAGAGGCATATATCTTTATGTGATAGTATGCCTGTAGGGACATATGTCTTTACTATGTGATTATATACCTGTAGAGGCATAGGTCTTTATGTGATAGTATGCCTATAGGGACATATGTCTTTACTATGTGATTATATACCTGTAGAGGCATAGGTCTTTATGTGATAGTATGCCTGTAGGGACATATGTCTTTACTATGTGATTATATACCTGTAGAGGCATAGGTCTTTATGTGATAGTATGTCTGTAGGGACATATGTCTTTACTATGTGATTATATAGCTGTAGAGGCATAGGTCTTTATGTGATAGTATGCATGTAGGGACATATGTCTTTACTATGTGATTATATAGCTGTAGAGGCATAGGTCTTTATGTGATAGTATGCATGTAGGGACATATGTCTTTACTATGTGATTATATACCTGTAGAGGCATAGGTCTTTGTGGGAAAGTATGCCGCTGCGGGCATGTCTTTATGTGATAGCATGCTTGTAGGGGCCTATGTCTTTATGTGATAGTACGACTGTATGGGCATATGTCTTCAATGAGGAATTCATTTTGAACTATGGGTGTTTTATACCATTTTAGACCAGGGTACCGCAGCCAGGTGGGTCGGGTTAAAGACTCTTAGTGGATCGGATCTTAGCCATGGGCCCTAGTTTGAGGACCACTGTTCTAGACCTTTAAAATATTCTATAATTAAAATTGAAAAAAATCAAACTGTTTTAAATAACCATCACTCACATTAAGAACATACAGCATTAGTTTTGACATTTCTACTGTGCCACTGTTAGTATAAGTTGTCTAGGAAACACACACATTTCGTCCATTTCTGAAATAAAATTAATCAATTATCAAAAATTACTTTTTTTTAAAATCAGTGATTGTTGAGCAATCTATTGCTACTAATTAATAGGCCTCCCATTCAATTTAAAGCAATTGAAACGCGTACTTCGGTAATGTTTTAGGATGATCTACCCTAATATCCCATAATTTCTCCAATGTAAGAACACGAAGAAAAAAATTGGATCGGTAGTGGACGGTATTGTCCAAGCGACCCGGGACTAAATCAGAGTCCTGCCCCTATACAATTTTTACTTTTATGCTCTTGGTGCGGGGGGGGGGTAGATTTGTTTTCTGCCATTGATTTCTTCCGATACACACTCACACATACTTACTTTATACGATCGACGATTGTCTTAGTCTTAAAACTTAAGACTTAAGAAAACATCACAAATTACAAGTCATTAGGCCTACATATTTTAAGCAGTTGAAATAGAGCAATCGCAGTTGTCATAATTTGAGTGGTAATCACTTATAGCAAGATTCATGTGCGTAGCCCCAGACACGAATATGATGAGGTGCAATCATTTGTTAAATCTATAATAATGTCTATAACTATAATTATAATAATAATATGATAGTACTCGCTTGGATACTGGCCGCCAGCAGTGTCCATACCGACACAATATTTAATGTCAATGTTACATTTACATTCATAGCTTTTCTCTTAATATAATTCAAACATACCATTTACAATAGAAGATGTACAATTTGTAATGCATACTAGTTGTTCATGAAATCAGTATGTGACTTAATATTAATATTGATATTGTGATGCAGGTGGCCAAACGACAAAAATATCCTCGACAGAAGCGGCCTAAAAATTTAGAACCGTCCTTTCAATTTTTCTACGTGAATTAATTAATTTCAATAAATGAAGATATTATTTATTAATTGTTTTATATTATTATTACACAATCAGTACCAAATGTTTGTTTTATCCAACAGGGAACTAACTAGTACATTAATAAGAAATATAATAATCTCATAATCTCTTCCCTTTATCTTTTAAATAAGTTCACTTCCGGTTCATAAGAAACGAATTGTCTGCTGAGTAAAATTACTTGGTTTGTGTTTTTAATTTCGTACACGTTTTACATTAATGGTTGAAAGTAAATACAGTCCAAAAACTATACCAAACTCATTTTGTCTTGGGTTTCTGAAAAAAATTATTAAGCTACACATACGTTTACGCTGATAATACTAAAGTAAGTCACTCAGCTAGATTCACTGTACTGTGGCACTGTCACACTGACTGTGTGTGAGTGGTGCCGGTGGTATGGTGTTGTGTTGTTACACTCAACTGTGTAGTAGTGTGTAGTGTTGCGGCGTAATTCAATTCAATTATTAATTTGTTAGAATTACAGTATTATTTAGTGCCTAAACTTTCTCATTTGAACCGAACGAAAATTCAGTAATACTTATTAGTCTTAACTCTTTCTCTGCGGTATATTTTTATAGAAAAAAATGTACTTTTTTTCCAAGAGTGAATGAAAAAAGAGTGAGAGGTTGGATTTATTAAAAAATACTTTATAAGCCTAAACTTGATATCAAAAGAAAGATAATTGAAAGGCCTAGGCTATATCATGCTATATGTTGTTGTAAACTTATTTCTTTAGACTAGACACTTAAGTTTAGTTTAAATAAAATAAGTTACAGAAAAGAACCATAAGATGTGAAAACATTTTATGCTAAACCATTTTTTCCCCAAACCCTATGACAGATGTACGCATACCTCATCTTCACTTCTATAACTCAAATCCTCTAAAACTACTACTATTTTTGGAATCATGAGATCGATCTAAATAAAAATCATCTTCACTATCAAAAGAAATAGTATAAAACAATTCCAAAGCTTTTTGAGCTGTTAATCGTCTAGGAAACTTACTCACCTAGTAGGGCCTAGAGTAGCCATAGCAACAGTAGAAAAAAGTGAAGAAAATCATTAAAATAATGCTTCAAATGACAACATATAAACCTTGGTTTCATTTATAAACAATGAAGTACCAATCTGCCAATCTTCTATGTAAAAGTGTTATTTAAAAATAGCTCTAAAAGGTTTAACCAAGAAATAGCAAAGAAGCAAACATGATATTGAAACAACCCACAGCACGTTGGTCCGTGCTTTTGAGAACGGCGGATGAACGCAGTGTGTGTTAGTGTGTTGTTCAGCAACGAAAGAGTTAACCAGTGTCGAATCTTTTTTCCGTCATTCATAGCTGCCTCTGAAACTGAATGATTAATAATTAATTATTTTTTATTATTATATTGTCAAAATCATAAGACTAAGTAATCATAAGTAATAAGGAGTGACAGTAATCAGTAAAAAATAATGCCATGAATTTGTTGAAGGCAATCATTTATAATCAGTGACTGTGATAAAGGCTGTCAACAAGAATTTTCCATTCATCTCAGTCTGTGGTTTCCAGTTTCTTCCACTTTTAGGTGTGTAACAGACCAAGTTGGCTGTGATTTTTCACACGACCCTAATATTCATTCTTATGACATTTTAGTAATTTTATCAGAACGTTGTGAATCACGAGAAAGCGGGAACTAGTTTTTATAGCGGAAGTAGAATACATGCTTAAGTAGAGCAGGAGTCCATGATTGTTTCTTGAAGGTGTCGGACATGTTGAATTTTTCTTGTATGGATTATTAAAGTATTATCTGATGGAGTAATGTGGAATGTGTATTAATTCATTGCATCCTATCATTGTCACTAGGATATACTCATAGCAAGATTTATTATTCAACTCATCTATTATATGTAATAAAGTACTGTATAAATTATTGGACGTTACCACTTCGTTATTGAGAGAGAGAACAGATAAGTTTGGGGAGTGAATGAATCAATTATGCAAGTGATAGCGGCAGGCCATCCACTGCAGTAATAGTTAACCATGTTACCACCAAGGTCATATCGGTGATATAACATGTTACAAGGTGTTAACTTGGGATTACCCAGATATTTCCCTATCCACCAACATCTTTTCCATTTGATGTTTTTAATTTCAGCAATAGGCTCTTACTCTTGGTATGTCTTGTCCATTAAGTATTTGTTGGTGATGATTTTTGGCCATTTAATGTTCAGGATCTGTCTTAGGCAAGTTTTAGTGAAAGTCTGTATTTTCTGCTTTTTATGCTCACTGTTGTTGTCCAATTTTGGCACCACCCTATACAGACTATCATAATTCATTACATTTAAAAGAAGACTAAATTGAATGTGATTCAGTAAAGTGCCCTAACAATATTACTCAAAAATTTCAGTTGGCTCGGCAACTTTTGTCTATTTATAATTAGATGTAGGCCTATGTCCGGGCACTGTATGTGTATTCTAGTATATAATTATAGGTTTTATTATTTTTTGATGAAATAAAATAGGCACAATTTAAGGCTTTGCCCTGATTGCAGTTGAAGACTTTACTCTGAAATATGAGTATGATGATGAATGTTAAATAGAAATTATTCAAAGATTTCAGTCTTTCAAAAAGTTTTAAGTTATGCACAAGCATCTACATACTTAAAATACAACTATTTAATTAAAATGATGCACTTTCAGTTATAGTTATTGAATTATTGTTTTGAAGTAGCAGTGTCCTATAGAGCAGAAGAAAACTCAACATTAAAAAAAGAACTAAAATGAGGACTTATAATGAAGAACTGAAGTTTGTGGAAAAGTCTGGCCCATGTGGTTACCACATTAGGAAAGGTTTTGTTGACAATATGAAGGTAATATTTTCAGATATAATCTAGCCTTTCTTGATTTGTTTAATAATATATATTAACTGCTGAAACTTGACTTTAAAAGTTAAAATAAGTTGTTTTTTTAAGTACACTATGAGTTGTTTCTTTAATTGACTACTTATCAACATTAACAAATAACAACATGAATTCAATGAACATAAACTGATGAATTTTAAATTGACTTACGGAAATATAAAAAATATTATTTATAATTAATTTTTTTCTGAATGGAATTTTTATTATTTCAATGTCCAGAATTTGAAAAATATTAATAATAAAAATGCTTAAAGTTTTGCAAAGCTTTTGCTATGATGTTATATTTTGATTTAAATTCGAATTTGCAAAATAACAATTGACTTTTTAAATCAATAATTTTTTTATTCAAAATATTCTATCATTTCTTCGTTGTTTTTTTTATTTCAGTTGCTGCTACAATTTATTTGTTGGCTTTGGATTCTCTTAAATTTATTTTCCTAAAATATATATTTCTATATTCATTTTTAAATCATTTAGTTTTGTTCTTGTTTAGGTTGAAGGGTACTTCTATGCCAACAAGGCCCTTGAAAAGCTCATGTTTGATGAGCTGAAGCAGTCCTGCAATAGTAAAGGCTTTGGTGGCTTCTTGCCCGGTATGAAACAGATAGCTAATGTAGCAGCACTGCCAGGGATCGTTGGGGTAAGTAACACATGGTAGGACATTTTTTTTAAAAAATGGTTTTCTTAAAAAATTATTTATAAATAAATATATAGTGTATATAAATAAGGAATATGTGTTAATTTTTCTTTAGCGGGGACAAAGTTTCTTTTTATAATTTAAGACGAATGTTTTTAAAACAGAATTTTCAAAGTGATATTAGTTATTATTCACCACACCCACACACAAAAGAATTGTATTGGTCATCTAGTTCAAACTTTAAGGTGATCACAAATGTCTTCCACTGTGTTGTACTATGCAGTGAAAGCTGTTATAATGAACTCAAGTTGTACCTCATACATAAGTATAATAAACACATGTTGTACTTGATACAGAAATACAATAAACACATGTTGTACTTCATACAGAAATATAATAAACACATGTTGTACTTCATACAGAAATACAATAAACACATGTTGTACTTCATACAGAAATATAATAAACACATGTTGTACTTCATACAGAAATACAATAAACACATGTTGTACCTCATACAGAAATACAATAAACACATGTTGTACTTCATACAGAAATACAATAAACACATGTTGTACTTCATACATAAATACAATAAACACATGTTGTACCTCATACAGAAATACAATAAACACATGTTGTACTTCATACAGAAATATAATAATGATAAACACATGTTGTACTTCATACAGAAATATAATAAACACATGTTGTGCTTCATACAGAAATACAATAAACACATGTTGTACTTCATACAATAATAAACGAATATTTTACTTCATACAGAAATACAATAAACACATGTTGTACTTCATACAGAAATACAATAAACACATGTTGTACCTCATACATAAGTATAATAAATAGTAATGGGACGATTAATCGGAATCGTATCGGAATAATCGAAATATCTGGATTTTTCCATAGCATTGGGAAAGTTTGTTTTGATAGATGTATTTATATAAAACCTTTCAAAGACATTGTTATCTAGCATATTGTCAAGCTTCAATAGCAAGTTAATAAACTTTTCTAATCAATTCTCAACTTTTATATTAATTAAATATGTTAATACCTGGGCACAGTAATACGTAATAATAATAATAATAAAGTTTATTTAAAAAACACTCTTCATCCCCAAAACCTCGAAGCGCGGTACAAAGTCAAACATATTATAAAGAGAAATAAAAACAATCTGAAATTTACCACATTTAAAAAACATACCTCATACAAAAATACAATAAACACATGTTGTACCTCATACAGAAATACAATAAACACATGTTGTACCCCATACAGAAATACAATAAACACATGTTGTACCTTATACAGAAATAAAATAAACACATGTTGTACCTCATACAGAAATATAATAAAAACATGTTTATATTTCAGAGATCTATTGGCCTGCCAGATGTTCACTCAGGATATGGTTTTGCCATAGGTATGCACACCCTTCTCCACATCTGTTAACAAGAACAAAAAGCTTGGCAAAGCCAGCCAATACATAATACGCCACGTCTAGGCTCTATTGGCAAGTTTTCTAGAATTGGACACTAATTTTTATCATATTTTTCAGAGTTGTATTTGTTAAAAAAGTAAAATGTTTATTTCATTTATTTTTTTTAATTTAGGTAACATTGCAGCTTTTGACATGAGTGATCCTAAATCTGTTGTCTCCCCTGGTGGGGTGGGATTCGATATCAACTGTGGAGTGAGACTTCTGAGGACCAACCTTCACCTGCGGGATGTGGAGGGGTTGAAGGAACAGCTGGCCCAGTGCTTGTTTGACCACATTCCTGTTGGGGTGGGATCCAAAGGGATCATTCCCATGACAGCTCAGTGAGTTGATGGAACATTTATAGAACAGTTAATAGATGATTTATAGAACATTTATTGAATAATTAATGGAACATTTATGGAACAATTATTTGAACATTTATAGAACAATTAATAGATCGTTTGATCTTGCATTGATACAGTTCACCCATTGAACCCTGCTCAATATTGAGTTCTGCTTGTTTTATAAGTACAGTAATGTGTAAACAGCAATTCATGAACTAGATTTGGGGTTATATTGACTTCTACTTCATATATATGTAGAAAAAGTAGTCAGCTGCTTGAAAGGAATTTTTAATTTGATAGTAAAATAACTTACAAATTACAATAATACTAGAAAGATTCTTGCTTATTTCACAATGGGATTACCTCGTTCTGGGTAAAAATAAGAGCGTGCTGTGCTGTTTATAATGCAGACTCTTGATTTTTTAAAAATATTACAACTCTCTATAAATATCCTAATTATTTTATACAAAGAAATCTAGAAGAGGCCTTGGAAATGGGAATGGATTGGTCTCTACGAGAAGGTAAGACACAGGACCATAGCTTTAAAATACTTCATATTTAAACTAGGAAAAATGTTTTCATTGAGGTTTTACTACAGAAACAGAGTGCCAATAGACTTAAGCTTTTTCTCTGGTTGATGACATTTATAGCCGTTATGTGAAATGAAAGGCTAATTTCAATACAGCAGGCAAGGTTTGGGTTTACTATTTTGTTGACAAGGTTTCATATGTTTCTGTAATGTTATATGTTCTTGACAGGGCTTAATATGTTGCTGACTGTGTTTAATATGTTGCTGGCTGTGTTTAATATGTTGTTGATTGGGTTTAATATGTTGCTGACTGTGTTTAATATGTTGCTGACTGTGTTTAATATGTTGCTGACTGTATTTAATATGTTTTTGACTGGGTCTAATATGTTGCTGACTGGTTTAATATGTTGTTGACTGTGTTTAATATATTGCTGATACTGATTGGGTTTAATATGTTGCTGACTGGGTTTAATATGTTGCTGACTGGGTTTAATATGCTGTTGACTGGGTTTAATATGTTGTTGACTGGGTTTAATATGTTGTTGACTGGATTTAACTTGTTGCTGACAATATAAGATTATTTATTCTCCCATTAGGATACGCATGGGCTGAAGACAAGGAACACTGTGAGGAGTATGGGAGAATGCTTCAGGCAGACCCATCCAAAGTGAGCAGCAGGGCCAAGAAAAGGGGTTTGCCTCAGGTATTTAATAACACAGCCCATCTGTGCTATGTTCAAATGTCTTGATGTTGTTGGTTTTTTAAATATTCCTACTGATCTGTTAGAACCTCTTAAATATCTGTTTCATAATGTTCTTCAAATGTGTTAATACTTGCAATATAATTTTTAGAGTTAATGGAATTTAAAAAGTTATATAAAAAAAGCCAAAATGTGAATAAGGGGGAAAGTGAATAAAACCAGGGGCAGTCAGAATAAGATTCATTGACACACATATAGTTCATCTTTAAGTCTTGGTCTATCATTTTATCATTTAAACTGTATGGTAACTTCACCATTCACTTTCTTCTCACATCATTTAAACATTATGAAGTTTTTAAGGAATATTCAACAATTACTTTCTTCTCATATCATTTAAACATTATGATGTTATTAAGGTAACTTCACCATTCACTTTCTTGTCATATCATTTAAATAATATGATGTTATTAAGGTAACTTATGATGTTATTAAGGTAACTTGTGATGTTATTAAGGTAACTTCACCACTCACTTTCTTGTCATATCATTTAAACATTATGATGTTATTAAGGTAAATTCACCATTCACTTTCTTGTCATATCATTTAAACATTATGATGTTAGTAAGACAACTTCACCATTCACTTTCTTCTCATATCATTTAAATAGTATGATGTTATTAAGGTAACTTATGATGTTATTAAGGTAACTTATGATGTTATTAAGGTAACTTAACCATTCACTTTCTTGCCAGCTTGGAACACTGGGGGCTGGCAATCACTATGCAGAGATTCAAGTTGTAGAGGAAATTTATGACAAGTACGCTGCTAAGAAAATGGGTGTGGATTTCAAGGATCAGGTGTGTGTCATGATACACAGTGGTAGTCGAGGTATGGGGCATCAAGTGGCCACAGGTAATTACTAAATGGTCTAGGCATGTGACATTAGGTGCCACAGGTAATTACAAAATACTTACATCGTGAGTTTTAGTGTATAAAAAAATGTAAGTTTGTGTTATTTAATTAAATAAATCTGGGATCTTTAATTGTTAATATTGAAATAAATCGAGGATAATTTATTGTTGATAATGGAATAAATTAGGATGTTTTATTGTTGATATTGAAGTAAATCAGGATGTTTTATGGCATATGACAAAATGTAGTATGGTTCAATGGTTCTTAAATGTATATCAAAAAGTTATGCACCAAGTAGTAAGAATTTTCTAGGCATTCCTTTGTTGTCATGATGTGAAAGTTCCTAAATTTATTCATTAGAAGTGAGGTATTTTTTACTTTGATTTTATTGCTGTTGCTCACATAAACCATGCAGCTGAAGGCGTCTCTGCTATTCAGAAAGATTTAGGATAGTTTTGGTTGGGATCATACAGTATGATGTTAATGATATAATACATTTTATCTAACATAAGTAGTTAACAAAATTTCTGACAAATCTATTGTGTTAAAATTGTTACCTTAAAACTTCTAATATGTTTTTTGTTCCAGATGCTCTTGTAGCAATGGAAAAGGCAATGAAGCGGGACCAGATAGACGTCAATGATCGCCAGCTTGCATGTGCTCACATTCAGTCTGTAGAAGGGCAAGATTATCTTAAAGCTATGGCATCTGCCGCTAACTATGCTTGGGTCAATAGAACTAGTATGACATTTCTCACTAGACAGGTACATGCGTCAATAGAATTATGATATTTCTCACTGAATGTAATATATATAATATAATTTTTTTTTTTTTAAACAAACCTTTTTTAACCTTCTTGCACCAGTGAGATATGATTTTCTTAAACATTTTTTTATAATTTTCTCACAAAAATTTTTTTTTATACATTCTTACAAAAAATTTTTTTTAGATTATTACAAACATTTTTTATTAGATTCTTAAAAAACATTTTGTGTTAGATTATTACAAATATTTTTATTAGATTCTTGCAAACATTTTTTATTAGATCATTACAAACATATTTATTAGATCATTACAAACATTTTTTATTAGATCATTACAAACATTTTTAATTACATTCTTACAAACTTTTTTACTAGATTATTACATTTTTTATTAGATTATTACAAACATTTTTATTAGATTCTTACAATCTAATTGAAAAATGTTCGTAATAACCTAATAAAAAAATTTAAAAATTTTTGTTATAATCTAAAAAAAAAATGTTTGTAAGAATCTAAGAAAAAAATGTTCTTACAAACATTTTTTATTCAATTCCTACAAAACATTTTTTATTAGATTCTTACAAACATTTTTTATTAGATTATTACATTTTTTATTAGATTATTGCAAAAAGTTTTTATTAGAATATTACAAACATTTTTATTATTAAATTCTTACCAAACATTTTCCTTGTAGTTCAATACAAATTGAGTTTCATTCCTTGCTTGTTATTTCCCAGGCCTTTGCTAAAATGTTTAACAGTACTCCTGATGACCTTGACATGCATGTCATTTATGATGTGTCTCACAACATTGCCAAAGTGGAGGAGCATTTCATTGATGGCAAACAGAAAACTTTGTTAGTCCACAGGAAAGGTTCCACACGTGCCTTCCCGCCACATCATCCACTCATCCCAGTGGATTATCAGGTAAATCTGCCCTCCCACCACATCATCCACTTATTCCAGTGGATTATCAGGTAAATCTGCCCTCCCAACACATCATCCACTTATTTCAGTCGATCATCAGGTAAATCTGCCCCCCATATTTTTCAAGAATAAGTTCTAATTTTCATAGGGATTTCACTTGTGGTCATGAGTAATTTTAATGACTATCAACATTATTTGGCTCCTTTAGAAACAACTGGCTTTTTGCTTTCAGCCTCTAGTTTTTTTATTTAGTTACATTTATGGCAATATTTTGAATAATATTTTTTCAGGAAGGCAAGTTGAATTATTATTATATTTTTGGCCAATGTCAATGTCCATTGTTTTAGTTGATAATCATTCATGTTGATTGTTTTGTCACTATTGAAATGTATGATTGTTTTGTCACTATTGAAATGTATGATTGTTTTGTCACTATTGAAATGTTTGATTGCTTTGTCACTATTGAAATGTATGATTGTTTTGTCACTATTGAAATGTATGATTGTTTTGTCACTATTGAAATGTATGATTGTTTTGTCACTATTGAAATGTATGATTGTTTTGTCACTATTGAAATGTATGATTGCTTTGTCACTATTGAAATGTATGATTGCTTTGTCACTATTGAAATGTATGATTGTTTTGTCACTATTGAAATGTATGATTGTTTTGTCACTATTGAAATGTATGATTGTTCCAACAGTTGACAGGCCAACCAGTGCTCATTGGAGGAACTATGGGAACATGTAGTTATGTATTGACAGGAACAGACCAGGGAATGGTGGAAACATTTGGGACGACATGTCATGGAGCAGTAAGTCAACATTCTTGAAGACTTTTTCCACATACTTGGAGACTTTTTCACATTCTCTGAGACTTTCAAAATAAAAAGTTTTGATTTTACAAAATATAAGTGTAGATGGTACTTTGTGTAGATGGTACTTTAAAGTCACTTAAAAGCTCAGATTTAAAGTTTGAACTATTACTATTGTTGGGAAAAAAACTTTAGTTTCTCCTAATGGATGCCCACACTCGAAAAAATGTTGATACTTTGTTAAAAGTTGAAGTTACTTGTGCCCCAAAGTTACTGGTGCCCTATTTGTAGGCCTATAAAACCACTTTCATTTTGTTTTTAATTATTGCAAACCCCAGGGACCCATCATAAAAACGGTTATTTGTACCATACAGTCCATACATGTTTAACATTACTCAGGCAGTTATATGGATTACTAAATGTATTTCAGCTAACCTTAAGCCTCAGGTAATGTTGGACATCACATTACTCAGGCAGTTATATGGATTACTAAATGTATTTCATGTGACTGTAAGCCTCAGGTATTGTTGGAAAAAGTCTTCATAAGTGATCAAAACATTTCTTCTGCATCTGCAGCTCAAACTGGGGTGTTAGATTTAAACTTAGTTGTTTAGATTCAAACTTGGCTGTTTAGATTCAAACTTGGTTGATTAGATTCACACTTGTCTGTTTAGGTTTCTGAGTGAGTTTAAATAAATTATTTTGTCATTTAGGGACGAGCACTGTCTCGAGCTAAATCTCGAAGGAACCTTGACTACACTGATGTGTTGTCTGCCCTTGCCAACCAGGGAATTAGTATCAGAATAGCATCACCTAAATTAGTCATGGAGGAGGTGAGTAATATAACTTTCAATAATATGAGGAGTGTCAGTGGTATTCTGGTTACAAATGTCATGGAGGAGGCAGAGCTGTCACGACTGCCTGTGGTCTCAGAGATTTAAAGGACCCAAGGTTGTGATTTGGAACATTTTTTCGGGGTGTAAATCTGAAGTGTGTCTGGGTGCCTCCCATGATCACGCGCATAACAGCTCTGAAGGGAGGTGGAAAGAATCAGGAATATATCTTTTTTTAAATCCTTTATATTAACTTCGCTTTTGTTCCTGTGTTTATTTCCGGCAGGGTGTGTGGCAAAATCTTCGGATGGCTAATTGACCCACTTCCCATAAACCTATTATGTTGAAAGTTGGCACATGGACTCATTGCCAATGACAACACATTCTTTCAAATTTTCAGCTCCACCCCCCAACCCCCAAAAATCAGTTTTTCCTGTTTTTCAAGGGAACGATATATGATGCCACTGATTTCACAAAATAAAATTCCTGATATGCGCTAGATGAGATTTTTTTTTTTTTTTAAATATGACAAGTGCATTTGGTGCATAAGGTTTTCTTTTTTTTTTTCTTATTTCAAATTTTCAACCCCCCCCCCCCACCCCCAAAAATCAGTTTTTCCTGTTTTTCAAGGGAACGATATAATATGCCACTGATTTTACAAAATAAAATTCCTGATATGCGCTAGATGAGATTTTTTTTTTTTTTTAAATATGACAAGTGCATTTGGTGCATAAGGTTTTCTTTTTTTTTTCTGAAATAGTTGATGTAATAAGTGTATAAGTACGGTGTATAAGAGGGTGGGTCATTAGAATATCAACATGAACTAGTTTTTTTGAATGCATATAAAGAATTAATATGAAAAACTTGGATATTTTTAAGGGTCGTTAAATTTGACCTTTGAAACAGCAGCTTTGAATTTTCCTCTAAATGTGTTCTATAACGGAATTTAGCACACATCTAAAACCTGCTGTGTAGAGTTGTGTGGCTCATGGATGTGGCATGTTAAGGGCTGTGTAGTTGTGTGGCAGATGAATGTGACATGTTAAGGGCTGTGTAGAGTTGTGTGGCTCATGGATGTGGCATGTTAAGTGATGTGTAGATTGTGTGACCGGTTAATGTGGCATGTTAAGAAATAAGAGTGTGACAAATGATTTACACCTAAGTTTAAGTATTTAGTTTTTGTTGATATATAATCTAAGCTTTTGTGCTTCTGGCATTCCTTGTGGGGGAATTAGTTTTCACAGTTGTTGACAATTTTAATGCAAATATCTTGATTGGAACTTTCTTTTTGTCCTCAGGCACCAGAATCTTACAAAAATGTTACAGATGTTGTAGATACTTGTAAGTCTGAGACTATCTCACAGTTTTCTTTTCTTAATTGTGTCTCATTTGTTAAAATGGAGTTGAATTGTTATAATGTACTTCAAAAGCGGTTTGTATTCCAAAATTACAGAACAATAGGCTTTTCAAATTAGGGTGTTTTAAATCCTATTTCATCACTGGCTGCACAGCATATACGTTCAATACAGCATAGCAAGGCAGCACAGTTTTATTAATGACAGTACAACATATCAGGGCATTACAGTTTTATTAATGACAGTACAACATATCAGGGCATTACAGTTTTATCAAGGCCGTACAACATATCAGGGCATTACAGTTTTATCAAGGCCGTACAACATATCAGGGCATTACAGCATTAGATGACTAATTTTACTAACTGATTAACTAGATGACTAATTATACTAACTGATCAACTGGATGACTAATTTACTTACTGATCAACAGGATGGCTAATTTACTAACTAATCAACAGGATGACTAATTTACTAACTGATCAACAGGATGACTAATTTACAAACTGATCAACTGGATGACTAATTTACTAACTGATCAACTGGATGACTAATTTACTAACTGATCAACTGGATGGCTAATTAACCTAACTGATCAACTGGATGGCTAATTTACTAACTGATCAACTGGATGACTAATTTACTAACTGATCAACTGGATGACTAATTTACTAACTGATCAACTGGATGACTAATTTACTAACTAATCAACAGGATGGCTAATTAACCTAACTGATCAACTGGATGGCTAATTTACTAACTGATCAACTGGATGACTAATTTACTAACTAATCAACAGGATGGCTAATTAACCTAACTGATCAACTGGATGACTAATTTACTAACTGATCAACTGGATGACTAATTTACTAACTAATCAACAGGATGGCTAATTATACTAACTGATCAACAGGATGACTAATTTACTAACTGATTAACAGGATGGCTAATTTACTAACTGATCAACAGGATGGCTAATTTACTAACTGATCAACTGGATGGCTAATTAACCTAACTGATCAACTGGATGGCTAATTTACTAACTGATCAACTGGATGACTAATTTACTAACTGATCAACTGGATGACTAATTTACTAACTGATCAACTGGATGACTAATTTACTAACTAATCAACAGGATGGCTAATTAACCTAACTGATCAACTGGATGGCTAATTTACTAACTGATCAACTGGATGACTAATTTACTAACTAATCAACAGGATGGCTAATTAACCTAACTGATCAACTGGATGACTAATTTACTAACTGATCAACTGGATGACTAATTTACTAACTAATCAACAGGATGGCTAATTTACTAACTGATCAACAGGATGGCTAATTTACTAACTGATCAACAGGATGGCTAATTTACTAACTGATCAACAGGATGACTAATTTACTAACTGATCAACAGGATGGCTAATTATACTAACTGATCAACAGGATGACTAATTTACTAACTGATCAACTGGATGGCTAATTTACTAACTGATCAACAGGATGGCTAATTTACTAACTGATCAACAGGATGACTAATTTACAAACTGATCAACTGGATGACTAATTTACTAACTGATCAACAGGATGGCTAATTATACTAACTGATCAACAGGATGACTAATTTACTAACTGATCAACTGGATGACTAATTTAATAACTAATCAACAGGATGGCTAATTTACTAACTAATCAACAGGATGACTAATTTACTAACTGATCAACAGGATGGCTATTTATACTAACTGATCAACAGGATGACTAATTTACTAACTAATCAACAGGATAGCTAATTATACTAACTGATCAACAGGATGACTAATTTACTAACTGATCAACTGGATGACTAATTTAATAACTAATCAACAGGATGGCTAATTTACTAACTAATCAACAGGATGACTAATTTACTAACTGATCAACTGGATGACTAATTTACTAACTAATCAACAGGATGACTAATTTACTAACTGATCAACAGGATGGCTATTTATACTAACTGATCAACAGGATGACTAATTTACTAACTAATCAACAGGATAGCTAATTAGACTAACTAATCAACAGGATGACTAATTATACTAACCGATGAACTAGATAACTAATTATAATAACCAATTTACTAGATTTCTAATTATGCTAACTGTCAGGATGACTAATTATACTAACTGATCAACAGGATGGCTAATTTACTAACTGATCAACAGGATGGCTAATTATACTAACTGATCAACAGGGTGGCTAATTTACTAACTGATCAACTGGATGACTAATTTACTAACTGATCAACAGGATGGCTAATTATACTAACTGATCAACAGGGTGGCTAATTTACTAACTGATCAACTGGATGACTGATTTACTAACTAATCAACAGGATGGGTAATTATAATAACTGATCAACAGGATGACTAATTTACTAACTGATCAACAGGATGACCAATTATACTAACTGATCAACAGGATGGCTAATTTACAAACTGATCAACAGGATGACTAATTTACAAACTAATCAACAGGATGGCTCATTTACTAACTGATCAACTGGATGACTAATTTACAAACTAATCAACAGGATGGCTAAAATTTACTAACTGATCAACTGGATGACAAACATACTAACTGATCAACTGGATGACAAACATACTAACTGATCAACTGGATGACTAATTTACTAACTGATCAACAGGATGGCTAATTTACTAACTGATCAACTGGATGACTAATTTACTAACTAATCAACAGGATGACTAATTATACTAACCGATGAACTAGATAACTAATTATAATAACCAATTTACTAGATTTCTAATTATGCTAACTGTCAGCTGAATTGAAAAATACATGCAATATTGAAGTGGCTAATAGTATTTCATATTGTTTAAGAAAAGTTTTTTTTTTTTTAAATAACTTTTCTCAGTAAAGTAATAAATTTGTAAAAATGAGTCTTACCATGAGTTCCAGTGAATGTTCCTATGAGCACACTTTTCTTTCATGTTTCAGGCCATGAGGCAGGTATAAGCAAGAAGTGCATCAAATTACGACCTATTGCTGTGATCAAGGGATGATGTAGAGCTGTGAGGCTGCTAGTGTCATGTGGTAGACTGCTATGGCCATGTGGCTGTACTAATGTGTTGATGAGTATTGTAAATGTTGCTACCCATTTCTGTTGATGCAATGTTCTTGTCCATTGATTTGAATTTAAATATTTTTTTATTTTGTTCCATAAAACTTTCATAATGAAGGTGTCTCAACTTTTATAATGAAGGTGTCCACAACTTTTATAATGAAGGTGTCCACAACTTTTGTTATGAAGGTGTCCACAACTTTTATAATGAAGGTGTCCACAACGTTCATAATGATGGTGTCCACAACGTTCATAATGAAGGTGTCCACAACTTTTATAATGAAGTGTCCACAACTTTCATAATGAAGGTGTCCACAACTTTTATAATGAAGGTGTCCACAAGTGTGAGCTATGTTTTTTATTGCTAGTTTTTGATATTACAAATTTTTTTTAAATTCTCCACTTAAGTGATTGTATTTTTTGGTTGTTATTTGTAACAGAGAAATGAAAATAGAATTAGTTTGTATGACAAGCTTAAGTTGGTCTAGTTTAACATAGTATGACAAGGCCAATTTGGTCTAGTTTAACATAGTTGAGGTTGAATGGATACAAGATTGTAAAAAAGTTACGCCAAATCAAGGGAAGTAACATGAACAGATTCATTCAATTTTATGCCTTTACATAATTATGTAAAAATTAATGTTTCAAATGTCATTATATTTCAAGGCTCCACCCCTCAGCTAGCTACACTTGTACATAAGCCAGTTGAACAGGGGATAGGCTTGGCTACTGTAAACATTTAATTTATTGCCTTTCAGGTAATATTATTGTCAATTTATTTACTAATTTATCCCAAGAACGTTCATGACATTGTCTTTATTTTTATTGCCAGAGTTTATTTTGAAAGTTTGGTTTATTACAAATGTTTTACAAAAAACACCGGTCTCAGGATATCTCCGTAGCCAAGCTTATTTATTGTGACTATATAGCAATGTTAGCCCAGCTTATTTATTGTGACCATATAGCAATGTGAAACTCTCCATCTTCCACAACTAGCCACATACCATGTAAATAATCACTGTGGAGAAAGGAAACTTTGTATCTAAGCTGCCTGTTGTTTGACCTGAATAAACTGTTGATGAAAATACAATTTCATTTTATCAATTTATTCAGACTCATGTTTGGACACAAATAGCATCCCTACTTAAGGTAATGTCTTTTGTCAATGTCATATTTGGACACAAACAGCCTCCCTACTTAAGGTAATGTCTTTTGTCAATGTCATATTTGGACACAAATAGCCTCCCTACTTAAGGTAATGTCTTTTGTCAATGTCTTTTTCTTGTTATTCAACAACCAAAACATTGAGGACATTAACATGAATAGCACATGTCCCTAGACTGAGTTGTTTTAAGTTGGTATATGAACCATGGCCATACCACCAACCCCCCCCTCCCCAACTCCACCCACTTTGTCCACGCTGCTTTTGGCATTCTATATTTTTTAATTCAGGAACTCTGGACAGAAAGAATCCCTGTAATTTGTAGCATCACTTTCCTAACAGATAATTGATTGAGATGTTATACAGGTCTTGTTTCCACATTACCCTTGACAAGAAATAAAGTGACTGTGACTGCAAAATGGACAATCAATGTAGACTAAAGATTTTAAGTTCTTGAAAAATAATATTTGCCACTTGATTTAATGAAACAGTTGAATGATGCTTTAAAATAAATTTGTGTGCTCTTTAAGTTGCAACCGTTGATGTTCAGTTGCATAAAAACAATACCGAAGTGTGCTCACTTGTAAATATTACAAATTCCAGCTGTGAAATTCACTGCCTACTTTATGACATCTATAGATTTAATCTATCTTTGTTTTATTAGGAAGACATGCTAAAAAAAATATTCAATCTGGCAGAGATGTTTAGTGGCAAATAAAACAATACCGAAGTGTGCTCACTTGTAAATATTACAAATTCCAGCTGTGAAATTCACTGCCTACTTTATGACATCTATAGATTTAATCTATCTTTGTTTTATTAGGAAGACATGCTAAAAAAAATATTCAATCTGGCAGAGATGTTTAGTGGCAAATAAAAGTTTTAAAAACAGTCATTTGAAATGACTGATACATTACACCATCACTTTTATATTCAAGAAGGGCTGAAGAATCGTCAATCAATTCCATGAACTCATCACATTTTTATAATTTATATTCACTTATCCGCAATAGAAATCCGAGCAGAAGTTTCCCATTAGTGCAAATACTTCTTTGTAAGCTCAGAGAAGTGTCATTGGAAATATTTTTTTTTTAAAGTTTCCAGGTGACCAATAATCATGTTTCAAATTGCATTTGTTTAAACATGGCCATGTCTCTAACTGCTCAACCACACTGCACTTGTCCAAATATGGCCATGTCTCAAATTGTTAAACCACACTGCACTTGTTCAAATTTGGTGATGTCTCAAATTGGTAAACCACACTGCACTTGTCCAAATATGGTCATGTCTCAAATTGGTTAACCACACTGCACTTGTTCAAATTTGGTGATGTCTCAAATTGGTAAACCACACTGCACTTGTCCAAATATGGTCATGTCTCAAATTGGTAAACCACACTGCACTTGTCCAAATATGGCCATGTCTCAAATTGGTAAACCACACTGCACTTGTTCAAATTTGGCGATGTCTCAAATTGGTAAACCACACTGCACTTGTCCAAATATGTCTCATATTGCTTAACCACACTGCACTTGTTCAAAAATGGTGATATGTATAACTTTGCTGCCAGTTCACGTTAAACATATTTTTTTTAAATATGCTTTAAATTGTTTTTGGAACAAGGTAAAAATGCTGCTATGGTGCAGATTGAATTCATGTGGTGCTAAAACTGTTGCTCTGTTGCAGACTGAATTCATTTATGTGGTGCTAAAACTGCTGCTCTATTGCAAACTGAATTCATTTTTGTGGTACTAAAACTATGTTGCAGACTGAATTCATTAATTTGATGCTAAAATTGCTGCTATTTTGCAGTCGGAATTCATGTGGTGCTAAAACTGCTGCTATGTCAGACATAATCCTGTAAAACCAAGTTATTTCCCCGACATCAAAAATAGTTACCGAAATAAATTCACTTCCATCGAGGAGACAGCTAAACAAATATAAGGACTTATGTGATGCAGACAGCCAATAAAAAGAAAGGACTGATGCCATTAGACAGCCAATGAAAAGTAAGGACTGATGTCATCAGACAGTTAATGAAAAGTAATGATTGATGCCATCAGACGGCCAATGAAAAGTAAGGATTGATGACATCAGACGGCCAATGAAAAGTAAGGATTGATGACATTCAACTAGTGCAAACTCAATGTTGTAAGTTCCACATACAAACAACTGAGAGTCAAATGTGTTTAAGGAAAACTCTCCTGCACTGATTAAAAAACAGTTGATGTAAGTAATTTTGTTAAAGCCTAGTTGTTGATAGACAAAACTGTGGGATATTTACAGTTTGACTACTACAGCATTTTGTTCTATTACTGAATGCCTAGTATATGGTGAACGTTTTCAAAGACTTCTTACAATGGGGTTAACTTTATGACTACGTGCACCTTACAAACATTATTTGGTCCTTACTCCCTGGGGAACAAACACTTTCAATGGCCATGTCCAAACGTTTAGGGTACCATACTCTTTTAAATCTAATGGACACTGATTTCTGTCGTTGTATAGCTGATGCCGTCAAAGTCGGTCAGTTCAAAGTGTCATGCGGTTTGCTAGCACCAAGAAACCAAAGTCACATCAATGTCACGACGACAAAGTCGATAATTCTAGTGAGCTTCCCTATAATTTTCTGTTCTAAATAATCTAATGTTCGATTAAATAAACGAGCTCCATTTATTTATAATTAAATAAAATTTTCAAACCTTTGGAATCGTTCGATTAATGATACCTACAACACCGTACCTAAGCATTAACACGTTGTCTTGACTAATACTAACTATTTCAACATTGTTTCTTTAACTTTAACACAGTTTAACCCATTTTCCAGTTGTTGTTTTTTATGAATCGTCTCATTATTTTGTCCATAAACTTAAATACTGACTCTTTAATGGCCTTGAATTATTTTCCATATTTGTAACAAACTGTAAAAATCAATGCATGGCGTGGTGGTAGCAAGGCCTTGTTGCAATGAATTCTTTGAGGATTTAATGATTTAAAGTTTTATATGCACATTAAAAGCGAACAGAGACTGGAGATGTTGCCACCAGCACCAACCCATAGTTTGCACTATATGTAGATGGGATGAATTGAATTCGTGTCAGAAATTGTACTGTTTACTGAGAAGCCTTTTGAAGTGGCGTCATAAATTCTATGGTGCATGGAAGAAACTGGTGTTAAACAGACACTCCACATAGAAAACTGTAACATTTGATGCGTTGATACATAAGCCCGTCTTGTTTCCAAGTAATCGTTAACTTGTAAGCCTGAAAAAGCTGAGCAATAAACAATGACAATGAACAGCACTGCTCAGACCTTTACCAGTAGCATCATCGCATTTGTTAGTAATCCAATTTTCTCAACAGCTTTATTCACTTCATTGGCTGTTGTCGGTTTCTTCACGAATTCAATCAACTGTTTCGTTTTCTTCAAGTTGGGAAGTTCTAATGGCGTCATTATTTGTTTCTTTGCTCTGTCCCTGACAGATATGATTTATTTTATGTTCTACCTGGGTATATATACTTCAAACAGCTGTTGGATCGACTCTGGTAACACTAGGTTCCTTGTAATAGAAATTTTACTCTTTGTGTTTCGTGTTTCCGTAACACTTTCGCCAATATTTACAGCTTTTCTGACGGTCCAAAAGTGCTGCATGGTAACATTTCCGCTTCACTTCAAGATGGCGTTCACCAAACGTCGTGTTCTGACGACACTAACGGCTCTAACAGTGGTCGCGAGCTTCGCCTTGCTGCCAATGATCTCTGCTGATATCGTCCAACGACTGGTTCCCGACGTTCGGATCAACGAGACAGCGTCACTTCCGGCATCTAATCGTAATGAAAATATAATCAACGCCACAAGCATTCTTGTATTTTTTATTTTTCCGGTTACTGCAGAAGTTCTAATATGTTTCGGTGTTGTCATATTGTTACGAAAACTTCGAGAATCGGTTTTGTTTCGCTTGAAGTTGTCTTCTTTAAAATATCAAGCAGTGCGAAATTTAAAAGAATTCAGGTTACTGAAGGCGGTCATACTGGTGGCAGTCAACTTCCTGCTGACGAAATCTTACTTCGCGGTCTTTTTCCTTTTGATGATACTCATGCCAGAATTAAATAGCTTGGAGGCTGTAGTTTTATTTGATTACGTGGTAGAAGTGGGGACCTTTGTTCTTCTCGCCCTGCTCAACACTGGCGTTTATATTACCACTAATCCCAGCTACAAGAGAATTTTCATACAGACACTGAAGTTAAAACAATAATAGACGGGAGACAAATAAAGTGTTGCCCTGGTGTCGGGCCATTTGGTGACATTTTGGTGATGCTGGTCATGAGATGACCTTGAGACTAGAACTGGCAGGGGTGACGCATTGCTTTCTTTCAACATGACCAAATGAGCAATTACTAAAAACGTAAGAGGACAAAATAATTGATACCATTTTGTTTATGCTGTGTATTGGCATGCGTATAAAACCAAGTGAATGCTAGCTAGCAATGGTCACACAGAAACACTTAATTTAGTTAGCCCAAATTTTCAGTTTTGACACTTGTAAATGGCATGAGATTCTATAGATGCATGTTGTTAACTTTATCCAGCAAACATCAAGATAGAAGCCTGTTTATCACAAAATAAAATTATGTTTATCACCAAAAACATGAAAGACTGTTTATCAATAAATAAAAATTATGTTTATCAAAAAATGAAAGTCTGTTCATCGCCCCACAAAAGTCTTATGTTTATTGATTGATGACGTTTCAAACTCGTTTTGTACACTTGACATGAGGGTGGATTGTTTGTTTCAACTTCTTTGGTGATGGTGTCACAAATGAGGTTACCGGATATTTGATCGAAAGAAATTTCGTCGACGGTAAATTGATCGATGGTAATTTGATCGAACGAAAATTTGGTCGAATCTTTTTCCTCCGTTCGCA